TACATTCTACATGAGAAAAGAAAATAATAGTAATAAAAAAATTACTTACTTATGTGATTCAAATCTTATTTATTGCAACAACTTAAACTATTATGACACTTTGAATTGCACAAGAGTCCCTTGCTTTTACAACTGCATTTATTTGTGGAACACTTCCTTTTGCAATGACAGGTTTTGGACCTCCACCAGAGCATATCTGTGATTGTCGACACACACCGGAGAGGGTCCGAATGTACAATGTAATGAAATATTCGATCTTTCACCGACGTATTTGGTATCTGTTGACATTCACCGGTGAAAGTCGACATTCTCCAATTTCGGTCATTCACGGTAACATATATACATATATGTATACATACATACATATATATATATATATATATATATATATATATATATATATATATATATATATATAATTTATGATCTCGTTGCATATACAGGATAGACCACGGAAAGTGATCAGCTTAATTTATCCTGTGGTTCGATTCGAATTTCTTTGAGCTAAAATAACATGGTTTAACGAGAGCTTTAAAATGATCGTGCCAAATTTTTGGTCAACCCCTTTTGTCCGGAGTTATTAAGGTCACCTTCAGTTTTTTTTATAGATTAACCTAGAACTTTCTTGTACCCATCTTTTAGGGGATACTGAGACAGCATGTAATTTTTTTCCGAATCTAAAAAGAAATTGTACGTCACCTATAAAAAAAGAAACCTCGACAACTCCGAAAAAAAGAGTTGACAAATCATCTTAGAGCTCTCCTAAACCTTGTTACCTTAGCTGAAAAAGTCTCCGATCGAATCACAGAATAAATTAAGCTGATCACGTTCCGTGATTCGCCCTGTATATAGTGATGAAAATGTGGATAAACGGCATGCTTGTGGTTTTTATGAAGCAATATAATGCGGCTGCTTTTTTCGATGCTCCGTGAACCTAGCGTTAACAACGGAATTTCACGACAAGATTTTCATTTTTTGCTCGCATGGCGACCAAGGAAATCGCGGAAATTGTTTTCCGAGCTGCAATAGAAACAATCATAAAATTAAAACGCAGTCTTGTTAATTTCACAGCTCAGTTTTAACTGCGAATTTAATGCCGCACTTGATTTAGCTGTTCGACCCTGGAATGGCGACGATGTTCCACCAGTCGCACCCTATTGTCACAGAGACCAAAAAAAAATTCAAACGAGTGCCGTTTATTTTAACACTGTTTTGGCATTGATGCGACAAGATTTCCGTTTCCTCAGCTGGCTGCAAATTCTTTATTGATATTCTAACGACGCATTTGCGTTATGTATTTAGATGCAAAACGATGCTGCACCGACGCAGTCGAACAGCATCACGCGCCACAACTTTTTCAATTTCAGTTCTATTAACCCTAGAAAGATAACCATATGACAACGTACGTAAAAGATAACCATACGCTTCAGAGGCGCATGCTTTTCTAAGGCGTCAATTTTATACTAACAATGGATATTTATTTAAGTTAATCTAGTCATTTTAAAGGTTTGGCATTATTGTAAAAATAAAATGCATTTATATGATATTTTTTTATATTTTAAGTAATTTTAAACTTAAATCACTAGACCTCTATGAAAAATTAACAAAAATCAACAGTCTTCGCAGGCGCCTCTGCGACGTAGGTTATCTTTCTCGGGTTAATCTCTTGCCTTCTCGGACATTTCACGGGTGTCGGATGTCAGAATTGAGACTGTCAACTCTCCACCGTTTCGCATTGACTTCGAATCGGTACAGCGGAGCCTCGATCATCCGAACCTCCGACAACCGAATTCTGCATTATCCGTACGCATATTTCACATGTAAATAAATCGATCTAAGGCGATCCACACACGCGGCGCTATTTATTGTTTCAATCGATGAATACTTATTTTAGCACTGTTCTATTGTCCGAACACCCGTGTTCCCTCAATCAGTTCGGATAACCGAGGTTCCGCCGTAATTTATTTCAATCTGAACGCTCGGAACGAAATTGCAGAGAGCCAGATAAATCACCGTTCTATTATCCGAACACCCATGGTCCCCCAGAGTGAAACTGCAAGACGAGAGACTAGATAAATTGCTGCTCCATTATCCGAACATCCACGGTTGCTCGCAATTAAATTGCAAGGCAGGGGACTAGATAAATCACTATTATCCGAATAATGTGTTTCCGTCATCAATTCGGATAACCGAAACGTGGTAGACCTTGGACCCGGAAGCTCGTCGAACGAAATTGCAGGGAGCTGAACAAATGGCTTTGGTTTCGCGGAATTTTTGACATTGGCAGTCGCAGCGCATAAATCTCGGAGCGCATGATTTCGGGGCGTCGCGTGTTTTATGGAAGGACGATTGCAAGGCCAAACCGGTTGTTATTTTCGAATGGGCGTCGCGAGTCTGACACAGATTTCGCGACGCGGACGGTAAACAAAGGCGAGATGCAAAGAAATGTAATTTCTCGGAGTTCGGTCGGGAAGCTTGGCGCCGTCTCGGCGTCCTTGAGCGGGCTCGTCGAAGCGTGCGCCGATACGGAAGGATGGTTCTCATCCCTATTTTACCCCCGTTAAACGGCAGGGTACCGTCGTCCAGCTGGCGAGCAGCCGAGATGGCCCATCCTTGGAAAACTTTTGCCTCTTTGACTCTCCGTCGAGAAGAACACTGTATATTTAACCGACATTAATCGACCAATTTCTCTAAGCTTATACTTCGATCTAACGTTTACATGTCAACGGAAAAAGAAACACTTTATTCGTCTATTTGAATGTAAATATTTAGATGATAGATTTAATATTGCTACCGAGAAGAGAAGCGTAACTACCTTTGATTGCGATTACTCACGTCGTTTTATTATCGAGGGGCCTTTCATGTACGAGTAATCATTCTGTAACGACTACAGATATTGTAATTAATTTATTCTATTGATATATATATATATATATATATATATATATATATATATATATATATATTAAATAAAAAAAATATATTAAAATAATAATAATGTATTAAAGATATTTCAAATCGTACCACCGGCTGTTCCTTTATTCTATCCTTCATTGCGTGCGTTCAGCTCCGATTCCGATCCATCCATACTGTCTTAAACTTTCAACGTTCCCTTCTGTTTTGTTGCAAACGGTCCCCGCGTGAAGCGGATTCTGCCGACTCTACAGAGTACAACGATATATTTTTTTATGGTTTTTAAACGTTTCAGCAAGTTTGAACGACGATCGAAGCGAAGCCTTTCGCGAAGACGATTCATCGATCTTTAACTTTAAGCATTTTTTCTGTTCCAATCGCGAAAGCTAGATGAACCTTTTCGATGTAGAACGATTCTGTGAACTCTCCCGAACACAACGGTGTATATTTTTATTACATTACGGTCACATAGGTAAGTAAATTTCAATTTTTCATTATCGTCGTTGCATATACATGCGATTTATTTGACATTACATGTACACTAAATGCAGAAAATCTTCAGGTCCAACGTAGCAGTTTTAGGGTACGTTCAATGTTCTGGCACGATATTGTTTCAGTCCTTTTTCCAAACAGTATCGTACAACTCGGTGCGTCTCTGAGAGAACGTCGGGATTTGAGCTCTCACTTCATTTACGATGTTCAGGTCTGAAAAAATGTGCATGGTGTTAAGAAAAATTGCCAGGCTTTTCGGGCTCTTCTCGACGAAGTTATTGCAATCCAGAAAACTGATTTAACGATGCAACTGAATATTAATTTCGGCGCTGCTCTTTGTCCCATAGCCTTCCATCGGTTCCCAGAAATTTGTCAGGCAAACAGTGATCGCAAAGCAAGCCAATAAATTAACGAACAGTGCCTGGAGCGTCTAAAGTGGCAATTACCTATGTCGGCGACAACCATGTCCTCGGCAGCGTCCAGCTCGTGAAGAATTTCTCCCCACGGGTTGGTCAGTTGAGTATGGCCCCATGCGACATAACCAGGAGGAGAACCGCGGGCCGGCGATACGCAAGCGACGTATAATTGATTGTCATTTGCTCTGGAACGTTGCAGCAACGACCAGTGCAGTGGACCGGTGGTCATATTGAATGCCGCCGGATATATCAGCATGTGGCAACCTGGTGCGCAGAGGAAATTGGGAAATATGAAGACACCGAACAGCACGATCTCTATCTCTCTCTCTTCCTCTCTTTCCTCCTCTAGGACCGTGTTCCTCAATTTACTTCCACCCCCTGCGTCGCGAGCCCTGATATCGATGCAATCACGCTCCCATACTTTACCCTGTACTCTACCTTCTAAGCTTGACTCGACGTGAGATTACTTCTGTACTCTCTCCTACCTCCACTATTTTTCCTCGGACCGTCTGAGGATATTTTATCGGCAAGGTGAGCCACAAGCGGCCGGAGTCTTTCCTAAGTACACTTCGAGCAGTTTTCCGAGAGAAGCAATTAATTTGTGGCCTCGGAGAGTCGACTGTAAATATCCGGCTATTTTGACACATCGTCGATATTTGAACTGTTATCATTTCGTGAAACAGAGAGTCGTGTATCGAACTTAACTCGTATCGTAGCTTGAAGATTCTAAGTGCTATTTCTTGGAAATGTTACGGATCGAAACAACTGTAAATACGTTGGAAAATATTTGTCAAGAGTGACTGCAATATGAATTTGATGATTGAAGACGACTGTTTATAAACTTTGATATACAATTCTCTTCAGTCATTTTATTGTGCTATAAATGGAAGATGTACCAAAACGAGACATTTATTGTTTTTTTCCCCGTGATCACGAATTTCCTGTCGATTGCTTAAATAACGCTACCATAGAATGGGATCATCCAGTTCTAATTCAAGCCTAGAAAAGATGACAAATCTCAATGGGAATACATTTTAAAATTGATTGTAACCTGTCCAGAAGGAAATATTTTACTCTGCACTAATGATCGGGATCTTTTGATTTTCTGACAAGGTCTTGAATTTTTAGACATTGGGAAGTACGATTTTCCAGCTCTCATTTGACCCCTCAAAAGTTAACGAAATCGTAACATAAACTCGTTAAAACATTATTTTCTATTTATTTTGAGATAGTAGCGCCACTCGCGGCGGAGTCTCGAAGCTCTGATCGGGATCCGTACAGCGCCAATTAGTAAATGACAAAACGCTCAAACTACTAACCAAACAGTGATGCCTCTTGTGGCAAAATCTGGAAGCTTTCTTTCAGCTAGCAGTTTCAGCATTTTGTCACTTACTAATTGGCGCTGTACGGACCCCGAACGAAGCTTCAATTCTTCTCCGTAAGAGACGCCACGATCGCCCGCATGTGGAAATTGCAGGCTTGTCGAAAAACAATATTTATGGCTAAAGAAGTAAGCCAGCGTCTATATAAAATAAAAATAGTTAACGTAATAGTTAATCAAACTTCAAAAAGCAATTAATCATGTTTAAATAAATATTCTGATGATGGTACCTTCATTCCTGTAGAGACGTGCCATCTCCTCGAATCTTATGTCATAGCAAATGCCAATGCCTATTTTACAGCCCTTCATCTCGAATGTTGTTAATGAGTTTCCGGGACTGAGGGAATCGCTCTCGCGAAAAGTCATTTTTCCCGGGATATCGATGTCGAATAAATGCATCTGTCAATACAAAAGTCACTTTATTTCCGGGATGTACCTAATTTATACCTAATTAAAAACAATGAAATTAAAATTAGAATGCATGTTGTATGCACTCATGAAAGGAAACGAGTCAGTGGAATTTAGAACAGCGAAATGATTAAATTAATGTATTTTTAGCTTAATAAGATTTTTTAAATTGATGGATAATTTAATTTATAAAAATTGACACAATTGTCTGTAAATGTAAAAATCGTTTACCTTCCTGTGTTTTCCAACCAAAGTCCCATCAGGAGCCCAAATGGTACAGGTATTAAATAATTTATTGGTTTCTCTTTCAGGTATAGTGCCACCGATAACATAAACATTGTTCTTCTTGGCTGCTTCCGATAATGCAACGCTCGTTTCACCGTCTGGAATGCTCTCCGCGTATTTTGCGAAATGTGCTGTGTTTGAAAATATAAACGAAATTCTGAAATTTAATTGTATTTTCCTCTGACTTTTTCTATTGACAATAATAAATAAGCTATTTAACGCACAATAGTTTATAAAATCTGTGTTCAATATTTGTAACAAATAGAATTGGTTTAATCGCAACTATTGCATCTCAAGCTTTTCGTAGATATTGAATTTCTATTGATTCAAATTGAACTATCGATAGATAAGTCGCTAGTCAAAAGTTACAATCGAAGTATAGATTAGATTAGAAATCCAGCTCTGGAACTTAATTAATATATTTTTAAAAATCGTGCAATAATTTTTTATTACAAGAAGTGTGCGAAGGGGGAAAGCTGGTTGTTGTTTAAACATGTAAATTAAATCACCCCCTAGTGGCGCGCGCGGGAGTTGAATCAAAGGGTTGGCACCTAGTGCGGGTAATTTTTTAAAGTCGTTTTTTAAGATAAATTGATGTAAAAAGTGATGATAAGATATTCATACATGTTCCATACGGTGAATTGAAGCATTCAGGCAATGCAACAATATCGGCCTTTTGTTGTTTCGCAAGTTCGATGAAAGAAACTGCCCCTGCTATGTTCGCCGATTTATTTTCACCGACAGCGAGCTGTACTAGCGCCAAACGGAATGCTGAAAACAGTATAATTATTACTTTACATTACACGTGAATCAATTTATAATATTTCCATTGTAATATTCTAGGAATAAGAAAGCATACATACTCGACATTGTTCGGACTCCTTGTTTGACGATGTTCGCATATAACATGATATTTCTCGAGGTTATGTACGTTTACTTTATCAGCTGTTACGTAAACCGTCGCCACATATTCAAATATTTGAATTTTTATCGGTTTCATTAAAATAAGATTTATATAAAAATTTGTTTCGTTTATTATTAATTTGAAAATGCTAACGATGGAGTACAGGTTTTATGAAAGTATTGTCTTGTACGTTGCACATTTGCATTTGTTTAAAATGCAGTCTAACATTAAACAGATAAGAAACTTGAGAGCCGAATTTGTAAAAATAAGTTTTATTACAAAATGTGTATAAACAAAATTGTACAATTCGTCACAAAAATAAAACAATGAGAGACCAAGCAAAGTATTATCGTTTAGTAGGCGATCGTGACCTTGACCTGCCCTTCTTTTTGTGTTTCCGTTTGTCTGTACAGTCTCTCGACTTCCGGTCTCTAGTTTTCTCCCTCTCCTTATCTTTCTTTTTGTGCTTCCTACTGGATCTCTCCGGCGAACTGTCTTGTTTCTTGTGCTTTTTTGATTTTTTCGATTTCTTTGATTTGTGGGACTCGCTGCTACCTGATCTGCTTCTTTTCCTCCGTTTTTTACCATAATCGCTGTCGTCACTATCGTTTTCCGAATGCCTTTTTCGGCTCCTCGATTTTTTATCATCTGATTTATTACTTTTTTCTTTGTCGCGTCTTTTCTTTCTTTTTTCTTCGGTATAATTTTTATCATCATCGTCATAATTACTTTCAGAATGCTCTGATGAACTTGATCGCTTTTTCTTAGCTACTTTATGCTTCTGCTCTGTGGACTCTTTGTCCTTGTACTCTTCATACTTCTTCGCATCTGAAATTAACACCATAAAATACTAAAGGCTAAAATCTCTTATATTTATACCGGTTCTAAAGCAATGAGAAGGGACTTTTAAAGGTAATATTTTCCAACGAATTCGTATGAAATATGTAAAATTTTCTAGGTTTATACAGCGTTAATTCTACAATTTAAAAAATTTTCTTACGTCTTAAAAGCCCCTTAATGGGTCCTAAATATTCATACTAACTTAGAACTTTCGCATTCTTCGAATACTCCGACTTTGTTACTGGTTGCACCATGAACTCATTCACGGATATGATGTTCCCTCCAAGAGCCAGTTTTATTATAAGTCTTCCAGCATCGTCGTCGAATCCTTCTATCTGACCGTAATTATTACTTTGCTTGCCAGCAATGATTTTCACGAATGTGCCCTTCTCAATTTTCAGTTCTTCTTCTTGTTTCTTAGTATCTGTACTTTTCTTTTGCAACGTTACTTTGTCTGCACCCAGTCCCATACCTTTAGGACGCAATTCTGGTATCGCAGCAGATACAACTCTGTAATAAGAATATTCCAAAGGTATAAACTTCTGAATCTTGACACAGTTTTGAATATAGTATGTATAAAACATACAGTGTCCATTTAAACTAAGAATCGTACTTTTCATTTTTACCAATTCCTTTGCCAGGTTGCCATCCCATTCCCCTTAACATTGCTAGTCCAAAAGCATCCACAGGAATTTTTTCATAGTCCTCTAATGTTGACTAATGAAAGTAATATTCATCGATTAATATCTCAATTAAGTACAAATGGGAAAAGGAACATAATTATGCAATGATACCTGTTGTTGGCCTCTGAGAGACTGCTCATCCACTATTGGCAAAGTCAGTGCCTGTATCTGAGTCTCTTGTTTCTCGTTAGATTTCAGATCCGCAATGATCTCTTTAGCAGCCTGTTCCTCCAAGGTAATGACTTTCTTTTCCTCCTCGTCTAATGGTTCCTCTTTTATCTTAACAATATCTTTTGGCATTGCATTGCCATTAGTCAGCTCTGACGTGTCTTCCTGTTTGATTTTTACTACTTCTTCCTTTGTTACCTTGGGCTCAAAAATATCTGCATCAATTTTATTAAGAATTCTATCGTGCCATGTTTTAGAACCCAATAATGGTATGACCAAAGGTTCATCTTTTTTATCTTCTTCGCTGTAATGAAAAATTCTTTGTATAATTCCTCAGTCGAGGATATAAGTTTAGGTTAGTTTCAGAGGTTATGTTGGTGTCAGAAATTAAAAAGAAAATACGACTTACCCTATTACTTTGATAGCTTTCTCGTCTAAACACTCTATGTAATCGACTTTCTTCGTTTCTTGAGGAACATTAGTTTTCAACACGGGCTTTTTAATTGATTTCGCGAATCCGAAGGAGATTTTCTTCCCTTCTTCTGCCATTATTCCGTCTCGATGACGCGGATTTATGGATCGATAACGTTCACAACATAAATTGATGATACCTTCAATTATTTACACTAATTCAACATTACGTTTCATTCAATCGATTAATGAATTACTTCCACATTTTAAAATCACTATCTACGCCTCTGAACGTTTACGAAAACACAACGTTAAAGAACCACAAACTTATCTGTACAGTGGTGCTTCACCATACTAAGCTCATGCGAGGGCAACCGGTCAAGAATTATGAAGCAGCTAGAGAAACTGTTACTTCACAGCTAAACAGTGCTGCCCTCACAGTTTTAGACAAAGAGAGGAAGTGGCGGCGAGTGAGTAAGAGAGCACGACATCAGTACAACCACAAGCGCTTTGCGCCAGCCGAGCTTGTCACTCATTGGTCACTGTTTTTCGTTAATATAGTAGTGCCTCACCATAGGAAGCCAAGACGGGGGCAACCGGCTTAGAATTATGAAGCAGGTAGAGAAACTGCTTCTCCTCTGATTGGTTGAAGCTTCACAGTTAAACAGTGCTGTGTTCTCAGTTTTAGACAAAGATCTATCGAAATTAGTGGAAATCGTTGGCCACATTTAGATGAATGCGAATGGGTGACATTTTCGTTGGAGTCGACAATTGGTTGGTTACGAATCTTGAGGAGATTCACAATGGGATTTTAATTGGAAATATGTGCCTTTTTAAATTGTTTCCTTTATGAAAAGTACATTTTTGTAGTTGAATAGTTTTTACAGATATAAAAACGTATAATTACAGGAATATTTTGAAAGTAAAAGTTAGTAATTAGATAAAATTAAAGTAATTAGATATCAAAATGTAAAATAAATTATCTGAAAATGTTTAAGGAAAGTGGTCAGACATCTTACAAACAATTTCTTGTGAAAGAAATATAAAATTTCAGAACGTTTTTAAGAAAAGTGTTAGGCACTTTGGGAATGATTTTTTTCTACAACAGCGAGAAATAAACTTTTTTAAGAACAGTTTTTTTTCAATAAAAAAGAACGAATGAGCATTTTAGCAACGGACGTATTGATCTTTAAAAATTAATAAAAATGATAAATATTAATAAAATAATAAATATTATACAATAATATTTATTAATATTATATTATATATATGTATTATATATATTATATAATAATTATATAATAATAAATATTAATTAAAATAATAAAAATGAATAAAAATTGATTTAGTAGTATTATTACATAAAAAATGTCCTAATTCTTAATAACCGATTTTGCCTATTTCGTACACAGGTTTCTAAGTAGCTTTTTTATTTCAAAAGGTCAAGGACTTTATGTAATTGGTCTCTTAATAACATTCATTCTGTTCGACCCTAATTTATGCACCACAGCGCGTGACTTCACTATTATGCACTGTGTCATTCACTATTTAATTAAGATCATTCTATTTTTAGACCGAGTTCATTATCCCAACTTTTTCCATAGATTAGGAATAACGATACGAATGTAATTTAATTACCCGTATGTCAAGGTCATCATGTGTATAGAATCTACAAATCTACGTTTAATTGCATGCTCGTGCAAACTGAATGTTTATACAATCGATTTCACAGACAATAGGCAATCCAACAATAGCTGCAACGTCGAATACACGTAGATACATACGTGCTGGGTTAATTGTTCCCTTTCGTTAATTACGGTGTATCGCTACAATTGCATTCGAATTCAATAATGTGTTCTTGTGTCGCGATACTTCGTTTACTTGAACAGTGATAAATGATTATTAATCGAAATTCATTATACAACATATTTTTTTATCAGAAGCTACATTAGAGACAAAAAAAGGAAATTGTATGGTGTCTGGAATGTTTTTGAACGTAATTCTGGCACGTGTTGTTCGATTCTCTGTCGGAGCCGAAGGAGGAAGTTAGCCTCTTATCTTTCGGTGCAAGAATTACAGTTAAAATCGTTAAGCAGTTGAGGACGGTGGTCACGGACCCTGAGTAGAGGTGTGAGCGTGTTTTAGAGGTATAACTAGCGATGGGACTGAGAATTGCTTAACACTGCAGAAAATATCCTTTAGAAACAGAGGTATTTTTCGAGATCACTAGCAGGTGAAGCCTTAAATGTGTCTACTCATGCCTAGTTAACTACTCGAAAAGAAATGCGACCTTCACGAATTCTTCTTGAGAACATCAATGCACCTTTTATCGAAACAAGTATCTCGGCTCAAAGTACACATATTGCACAAAATGTAGTAATTATTTTGTTGCGGAATCTTACAAAATGCCTAAGCGACAGCCTCTCTTCCGACAGCTGTTTTCCCAACGTAAATGTGCGCGACCGACCTCACGATAAGCATGATTTCTCCAAGCTGGATCATCCGAAATAAAAAATTTACGAAAATTCCATTAACATGTAATCTATCGTGCTCGAACAACAAAGGAGTTTTTAAAACATTGATGTTTGGCAAAATGGTTCAAAACGAAAACGCGACTGTTCACCGCTGAACTCGGTTTTAGCGGAACAGCTTCCGGGAAACAGGCTGTCACTCGGCCATTTTGTAAAATTATGCGGTATCAAAATTTCTACGAGTTGTACAATATACGCATTTTTAATTGACATAGTCGTTTTCCGGTTGGTTCATAGGCTTCATCGGGAAAAAAATTGTCAAAGGGCAGGATCCTTCTGAGAGACCCGTTAATATTGATTTCTAGTTGTTCGGTGGTTCTAGTGTTAATGAGCGGGTCGTTGAATTGGTCCCACCACTGGTACATAGTCGCCGGCTTCCAGGTAGAGGGGTTAGCGTGTTTTAGAGGCGACAACAGTACGGTATGCAGATACGAAGCCTGGGTAAACCGGGAAGCCGTAGTCCGCGGACCGTAGTAATCGTAGCAGCTCCGAACAGTCGACGACATTCGGAAGCCGCGGACACTCAGGAATTCAGGTAAACTCTTTCTCTCCGATCGGACGAGACATTCGTTGAACTCTTCCTCCACCTGGAACCTCGGATCGGCCGTTGATCACGTGTTCGGTTCCTCGTCCAGGCTCAGAAATTCATTGTTGCGCCAATATATTCGGTCACAGCAAGTTTTATCGAAAATTGTGGGCCGAGAGTGGGTTAAAACTGTGATTGCTGAACCGTGGATTTTACACATTTACGACAAAAACGACTATAATTTCAAACAGCGAAAAGATTCAAAGGAGTTAAGAATCTTGATTTATTAATTTCGAGCGATTAAAATTAAGAAAGAAAGAAACTTGCGCCTGTTTCACACACAATTTTTATTTTGCGTAAACACGTGCAGTTTAATGTATTATATGTATATTATATTTTTTATGTTATGTTATCTACGTATGCATGATGCTTAGTGTTTTGTAAAGTTGTATTTTTCGGTTACAATTATTCATTTTTGGTTTTGTTTGTTAAATTGCTTGATTTCGTAGGATGTTCTATGGTGGTAGTTTGATAGGCTGTATGGTAACCCTTATGCTAACCCTTATATTGTGTCCGCTTGATGCACCCGCGTCAAGGATCATAATGATTGCAATTAAAATGAAGTCGTAGTGCAGACGTTATTTTTCTGATCGAAGAAATGTAGATTCTGAGTAATAATTGTGAATGACTCAGACATCTCGTTTAATATTGACAACGATTAGTAGTGAAAAAAATTCTATTTGGGTTACTTTTAAGTGGACAGCGGATCTTTGTGCAAAACAAATTTTCTCTATCAATTTTCTACGAAAAATGTAATTCTTCTCTAATCGATTTATAAATATTATGTAATACTTAAGAATTATAATAACGTTTTTGCAGCATCGTGTTTCCCTTACGAACGTTATAAATGCTTAAAATCGGAAGTATAATTAAAATATTCACCAATGAGAAAAACTTATTTCAGCTGCTTCTAACAATCATCGCTGAGACAATTTATTTTTCGATAGCAGATAATTGATAATATATATTGTAATGCAGTTAATGCATAATATATCGTATGCAGTTAAATTCGATCAATATTTTCAGTGCAATTTTTGTCTTCTTTAAAACTTGTTTAAACATTTTATCGATTGAACTAGTCCTCATTTAATTCCGGTTTCTATAAATTAGGCCATCGAGATTTACATGTGCACAGGCACTCGCATAATTTCTCAACTTCTCAATCGCACCGCGATCAAAGTGAAAGAATTCATCTTTTTGCTCATCAAAACAAGATCTTTTATTTTCAAAATCGTCAAAACTAGTTTCAACTCGGCAACGATTCATTATTTAGTCATCAGCACTGATTTCGCCGGTTCTTACGGTACTTCACACCTCTTCCTCTTCTATTGTTCGACTCCGTCACCAAAATCCTATTCACAGAGCGGCATTTACCAAAATATAATTGCGAATTAAAACGGTCCGCCGGTTAACTGTAAAACGGTGACCATGGTCGTACGATCCTGATGCTAACGGAGAAGATCCTGCAGCCGATTTGTTCCGCTAACACGTCCTATTCTCTCCTTCCGTGTTTTTTTCCGGCGTTTACAATGTCCGGAGTCTGTCGTCCTCGCGACTGTTCCGCAAGGATAACAAGTCGCAAGAACCCGTCTTGAACGGTTCTTATTGGATACGGTCCATTGGCTTGTAGATCGATCGACGATCAAATGTTGATAACGAGACGTCTTTTTTCCTGATCACGAATGGGAAGATAAATGGTCTTAGAAACCAGTTTACCATTCCATCATTTAATTATTTTATCATTTTGTTGTTTAATCGGTTTATCATTTTTCCATTTAATTGTTTTACTATCGTACCATTTTGCTATTTAATCATTCTACCATTTTGCTATTTAATCATTCTACCATTTTGCTATTTAATCATTTTACCATTTTGCCACTTAAACATTTTACCGTATTGCTATTTAATCATTTTATCGTTTTGCCGTTTAACAATTTAATCATTTAACCGTTTGACCATTTCATCATTTTAAAAACTCGACTCCTTAAACTGTTCTAATAAAGTATCATTTTCTTTCATGTTTGTTTTTGATCGTGTCTTCATCATTTTTCATTGATGACACTATGAAAGTATTTATAGCGGGATATAATATTTAAATATCAATTCGAAATATTTATGCTTATGGCTGATAAAAATGTCTAACAATAGAATGTAGTGAATATTCAAACGTAGTATCCAATTTTTAGTTAAGTTTATTTTTAGTTTTTATCTTATGTTAAGACACAGAGTACACATTTGTACTTTAGATTGCACTTTGTTCGAATGTGCTCATAAATTAAATCAGCAAGTCAAGAATACAAATGAAAAATGCGCGAAACGAAACGTTACAAACCTTTGGAGCACGTATTTCAAAATCCAGTGCATTTCTCTACAAATTGTCGCTACATTTAAGTAGATACAAATAAACGAACAGGAACCACACTAGCAAATAACAAAAATGAAAGAATCGTCAACAATTGTTCTTGGAGACTTGCAATAAAAATCACTATCGCGGTCGTTGCATAAACAGATTTTCCCGCGGATTAGCATAGAGGAGAATAGATGCTGCACCATTTCTATCAATAGGAAGCAGCATGCATCGAGCCAGGGTTCGACGTTTCGGGATCCCATTGTCATTCAAAATTTCGCAACCGGAATCAGTATCGACAGCCGAGCGGTGCATTGAACTTACGCGTATCAACAAGTTGGTTTCTAGTTCGATCTCTCCCAGCGGAGGATGCCACCGTAAATGTAGTCGAGTGAACAATCGCCAGCGACCGGATCTACATGTTGCCCGGAACTTGGTATAATACCGCGGAAACGGCTAGCAAATTATATTTGTTATGGGGAATCGGACACTGGCCTGCACGCGGCAACCATAGAACGATCTCATCTGACCGCGCGTGGCTACCGGACGGAACGGTCATTAAACGTCTGTCGCCCCCCGCGTTCTTTTTCTCTTTTTCCATAGTACCCTCTGCCTTTGGTAGTTCGGTGAAAGCTTCTGTCATTCGTCGACACAGTCGCCTGACAATTGCCGCCACTTCTAGCTTTTCGGGAACGTCCGCGAATCTTTCGACAACGATCGCAAAGACGGATTTCGTTTGAAATCACCGTGGTCAATTGTCTGAAATAAACGCGATTTTTGGGAATTTTTTCTGGAAAAATGAATTACGTTTTCTTTGAAACGAGTATGCGGTTCGAAAGTGCGTGTACCGTAGCATTTGTACGAATTTTTTCGATGCAAAATTTTGAGGAATGACCGAATATCAATTGGAAATTAAACAGCAGCGCGGAGACTGTTGACCGTGGGTTTGCCTGGCTAACGAATCAAAATTTTTTCTTCAATGATTGATCTCGATTTTATTCATGACGAACGAATATGGAGAAATTGTTATTTTGCACTAAACGACTAGTGTTTTGTGAAAAATTGATTTCTTCAAAACTGCATCGTTCATCTGTTAAACAAAATTATACATCAACAGAATGTTCATCAGTTCAGAATGTAATGGAAGTAACTTCTAAAAGAGATGCTGTTACTCAGGCATTTTTAAAGATTTTGCAATAAGAAAATTACTGTAAGCAGTACGCTACATATCTACAGTTTCCCACAAAAGTGTTCGTACACCTTTTAAAACGAAATAATTTTTTTGAAACTGTACTATGTGACTTGAATTTTTTTTAAGATAATAGGTGGACTAGTATACTAGATAATGAAAGATTTAAAAAACTGCAGACTTACAGCTTTTGATCAAAATCGCGACAAAACTGTGATATTTTCCATCTTTCATTTGTTGTAACTCGTAACATCGTCATTCCGTAACCGATTTCGATAAAATTTTCAGCATGCACATAAGTTACCGAGATCTACTAAAGAGATTTTTAAAATTTTCGTTATAGGCTCAGATAAAGAAGTTAAAAAACGAGAGTTTTTTTATGAAACTCTTATGAAAAAGTTATTTAAAAGGTTATAAAAAAAAGTTATTTAAAAGGTTATAAAAAAGTTATTGCGTTTTAAAAGGTATATAAACACTTTTGCGGGCCACTGTACATGTAGCGTACTGCTTACAGTAATTAAGACATTGTAATACAGTAACAAAAACATTGTCTAGCATACTAGTTCCTTTATCATCTACAAAAAATTCAAATCACTTAGTCCAGTTTTACAAAAGTTATTGCGCTTTAAAAGGTGTACAAACACTTTTATGGGACACTGTACTTCCAAATAAAGTATCCGTTTAAAACAGAATTCGTTGTTTAAAAAATCACTAATATTGAAGCTTTATCAGACTCTAGAAATTGCCTTGATACATTTCACACGGTTTTCAGATAAACAATGCGGCTTCTCCTCTTCAAATTGTGCCCACTACTGTTCTTCCTGACGGGGATCGTCGCATCAGGGATCGGCAAAGCGTGGCAGGTCCTGCCATACGCGACTTATGACTGGGCTCACCCATCCTGGCCACGATCAGCCTCCTCACCGTTCGAAATTCGTAGCGTGAGCGGCGTTGGCCGTCTGGATCATTCGGAAAATGCTCAAACGGATCTCAAACGCGATTCTCCTGCAACCTCTTTTCTTGGTAGCAAGCCTCGGGAGAGATTCGAGCGAGTTCTGCTGACTGCCGACGATGAACAGAGAAACAGAGACGAGTAAGATTTGCAATGAGAATAATTAAAACGCGACAATAGTGTTCGATCAAAGACAGTCTTTCAAAGAAAGTCTATCAAACAAACTTGACCATACAAAGTCTATCAAACAAACTTGACCATACAAAGTCTATCAAAGAAACTTCATCGTACAAAGTCTATCGAACTCGATCATGCAAAGTCTATCAATCGAATTTGATCATAGAAACGAGTTCGATCAAACGATCAAACGAGTTCGATCAAACGAAGTGTAACAAATGAACTACCAAGTCGATCAAGAGAAACTGAATGGTTTGTTTGATAGACTCTGATCGAATCAAACGAGTTCGATCAAGCAAAGTCTATGAAACAAACTTGGTGAAACAAACTCAATAAAATAAATTTGACGGAACAAACTCGATAAATCGTGCATCGCCATTTGTTATTTATATATTTGACGTACGGAATATCTTTGCATCGATTATAAAATAGTTGAAGACTCGAGAAATGTATCAAATGCTGCATTATACAGTTTAAACTTGATTTTTAAGCAAAACTGAGATGATCTCTTCTGTTAGATGACGTATACGAAGTTCTGGACGAGAACGGACCCGTACAAGTTGAAATCACATTAACCTTTTAGGCACGGCTGAATTCTGCGCGAAGCTATTTCTCTGGACGGCAGAGTCTGATGTGTACTGTACAGACTCTGATACTGTATATACAGGGGGTGTTTCAAAAATGTCTCGCAATCCGAAAGTGGCGGGTTCCTCAGGCCATTTGAAGCAATTTTTTCCTTTACAAAAATTTTCTCCGAGGCACCGTTAACGAGTCATTAACGAAAAACAGTGACCAATGAGAGGCGAGCTCAGCTGGCGCGAGGCGATCGAGCCAATGAGCGGAACTGGGCTTCGCGCGCTGGTTGGCTGGGCCGCCTCGCGTCAGCCGTACTCGATTCTTATTGGTCACTGTTTTTCGTTAATAACTCGTTAACGGTGCCTCGGAGAACATTTTTGTAAAGGAAGAAGTTGCATCAAATGATCCGAGGAACCCGCCATTTTCGGATTGCGAGACCTTTTTGGGACACCCTGTAGACTGTTGTAAATCGATGTGAAGACAAAAGAAGTGTGAAACAATGCATATGAAGACGATTATTTGATTCAAACGATGAGCGAGTGAGCTACTAGAGCAAGCCACTATAGTGGCGCGTCGTCCAGAGAGATGACATCCGCGAAAGCCACTATAGTGGCGCATCGTGCCTAAAAGGTTAAAAGAAAATAGCACAATGGCTTTTGAAATGAATACTTCATCATTCTTGTGCAGAAACCGAGACGTACCGGACGATCCAGAGATTCACGAGAAGATCTTCCACACGGGGCTGATGATGACGGTTTTTCGGCCCGATGACGGCCTCGGAGGGGTCACTGCCAATACGGGAAACGATGTGTTAAGGGTGCGACGAGATGCTGACAACGAGACGAAGATGGAGCAGATCGCTACCACGAAGAACGTCCGGGAAGGTCGTATGAGTTCTCCGGAGACTTGGTCCTCTCAGTCGTTGTCGGTGGAGTATCCTCATCGAGGAAGCTTGGATCAGATGATCCAGCAGACAGAGGAGGACCAAGAGTCGCCTGACGGAAGGGGCTACCAGAACCGCAGGGCTGACTTTGTTACCAGTCATCATAGACGAAGTTACGATCACAGAGATATGCCTATGCACAGGGCGTACGATGACTATGATTACTATAGGAACCTGCCTCGAGATCGGGAGTATGATCCTGTCGTCTATCGAAGAAGGTACAGCTACTATTATCCTGATCGCTACCGAATGGAGAGGAATTACTATATGCATGTCCCACAGGAGAACTCTTATTACTACGACAGGTAAGAATCGTTCGTCGAGTTTTTACATCTTTTATTTATCAATTCGTAGCTGAAGATTTCGTAATTTTCACAACACCAAGAGATTTTCTTTCTCGGTGTCACAATCTAATCATTTGTTTTTGGTGATTTTAATAATAATTTTAAATAATAATATTATTATTTGAGACACATACTATACTAATAGTATACTAAAACTATAGTTACACATTTAGTATATAAGATTGAAGCTCCAAATTATAAATTAGAAGGACAATGGCATTTAAAAAAAAATTGAAACAGTATCATTGCAAGTATAGTGAATGATGTTGATCATATCCGCAAAAACATAAAATTGCTTCATACGATACTACTTAAGGGAATAATCATGCGATGACAACTATTGTTAGATAATTTTAAGGTGACTAACAGATATCGGAGAAAGTAGGGGAATATCTAATTGAGGATTGTACAGATACTGAAACAAAGTATAGAAACGGAGTATAGGAATCAGGAATGAAGTATAGGGATCAGGGATGAGGTATAAGAGGAAGAATGAAGTATAGCAAGCAGAAATACAGTTAGGAAGCAGGAATGAAGTATAGGGATATTAAAAAGAACAACAAAGCAGACACAAATAGCAACTGAAAGAGGTTGTAAAAAATTGATATGACTGTATCAGTATGAAAGGATGAATGAAGGAGTAGATTCTATGTTCCACTCTAAACCAGTCATCATATTATACTTCATCAGGTACAGGGACGAGGACCTGGATCTCTACCGAGGTCCCAGACCAACCCCAAAGCCAAAAAGGATCATCTACTATGCGACCCTACCGGAGGTTGTCCGGAAACCAGTGGACCTCAGGAACTATCCTAGACCCTATGAGGGAACGAGGACGCCGGTGTCCAGGGACAGGTCCTACAAACGCATCCCAGGAAACGTTGATCCGAGTGGATACCGTTTCAGACGACTCTACGACGCGTACGACTCCTATCTAAAAAGATCGAGCTTCGACAGGCCCTATTCCTATCCCGATGAGGAAGCTAGACGAAAAATGTCACTGGAGAGTCTGAGGAACAATGAACCAATTGATCAGAATAGCGACAGGAAGCTGGCTAGTCAGGTGTCCATCAGGAACGATGGGAAACTGCCCTGGCCGGTGCAGATTGGAACTGAAGTCAGCGTTAAGGATGATGATAGGGTACCTGGCAGGAAGATCTATGGAGATAGCAACGGTTATGAGAGATTCCAGAATGCCCAGCTGCAGAAGGCACCTGACGCTACTGGGTCCAGTGAATTGCAGAGCGATAATTAAAAATTGAATAGTCGTTTAGTTGTGGTTCGGTTGGATTGTGAATCGATTTGGATCGAGATTTATGGTTCTCTAGAGGATTGGAGGACTTGGATAAGTTGATATACCGGGTGTCGCGAGAAATTTGTGCAGTTTGTGTTTTTAGAAAATTGATGTTTCTTGCAAATGTTGAGTTAGCGACGATTAGATTCGTTTAAAGCCTTGACGAGTATTTTACTTTTTTTAAGGCACTTTGATCTTGAATGTTAATTTAAGGTACAAGTTGAATAAATTTTTCTCTTAAGATTTATTCTTATTAAATTTAATAGAGACGAGGAAATAATTTTTATAGAATTTAAGAAAGTAATTATGAATTTAAATTACTCGTTAGAAGATAATAATGGAAGACTGAAGAACACGTGCTAGTAAGTAGCTATGTCTGATCATGGTAGAGTGTATCTACTGACACGAGCTCGACGAATCTTCGAAAATCAATATAAATTAATTTTTAGAACACATATGACATAATTAGGATTCAAGTTCAGCAAGGATTTCCAAGTCGATTCATTCTTCGATCGGACCAAAAGTAGTCAATTCCAAGAAAGCCCTTTTTTGATAATTGTTCACTTTGATACGCTGCCTTTTTAATTATTAATAGATTGCGGATTTTATGCATTTATAGTACTTTTGTTTTGACGACATGTCTAGAAATTTTGGACACAGATTTTCTTTCCATAAAAACGACTGCGAAAAGGATTTCCGATGATTCAAAAAATACTCTCAAAAATGTTGAACATGTAAAATTTCAGCAAAATTCGAATATTGACGTACGTGTAAAAAATGTATATCTGCATAAGGTTCCGCAGTCTAATTATTACATGACGTTTGTTAAAAGTTGACGTGCAACGTTTATTGTGATCCGCGGATTTCCGTCATCTTACCTACACATGTATCGCTATTTATAACTCATGCGATCAATTCGTGGTACTTTAGTCCTATTTATCGACGATCGTTCTTCGAATTATACTTACTACTTCGTAGGATCCTAAATCCATTTTTAATACCAAATACACTCTTTGAAAACGTTCGTCTACCTTTCTCCCGATCAATCAACATATCATGCGTCACAGTTTCATAATCAGTTTCTTCACATGGGAAAAGTGATACAAATAGGAACATCAATACGTTCAATACTAAACCATTCATCAAAATATTATACCGTAGACTTGTTCCTTAACACGTTCCGTGCCACGTGTACCATCGATGGTACACGCTTGCATGTTTACTTAGTGAACTGAACAAATTGTTTACAAGAAATTTAGAACCGAAGAATCAATTTCCACCGCAAGAATGGGCGTTGATAAGTTTTTGTTACGTTGTTATGTGTACGAGCTGTCTCTTATACACATCTAGATGTGTATAAGAGACAGGTTCCGTGCCACGTGTACCATCGATGGGACACGCTTGCATGTTTACTTAGTGAACTGAACAAATTGTTTACAAGAAATTTAGAACCGAAGAATCAATTTCCACCGCAAGAATGGGCGTTGATAAGTTTTTGTTACGTTGTTATGTGTACGAGCTGTCTCTTATACACATCTAGATGTGTATAAGAGACAGGTTCCGTGCCACGTGTACCATCGATGGGACACGCTTGCATGTTTACTTAGTGAACTGAACAAATTGTTTACAAGAAATTTAGAACCGAAGAATCAATTTCCACCGCAAGAATGGGCGTTGATAAGTTTTTGTTACGTTGTTATGTGTACGAGCTGTCTCTTATACACATCTAGATGTGTATAAGAGACAGGTTCCGTGCCACGTGTACCATCGATGGGACACGCTTGCATGTTTACTTAGTGAACTGAACAAATTGTTTACAAGAAATTTAGAACCGAAGAATCAATTTCCACCGCAAGAATGGGCGTTGATAAGTTTTTGTTACGTTGTTATGTGTACGAGCTGTCTCTTATACACATCTAGATGTGTATAAGAGACAGGTTCCGTGCCACGTGTACCATCGATGGGACACGCTTGCATGTTTACTTAGTGAACTGAACAAATTGTTTACAAGAAATTTAGAACCGAAGAATCAATTTCCACCGCAAGAATGGGCGTTGATAAGTTTTTGTTACGTTGTTATGTGTACGAGAATTAATAATTGCACGTAATACATCAAGTTTTAGTAAAATATCAAAGTGTGAAGATTCGAGTAAAAAAAGCTCGGCACGGAATGTGTTAATATGCAAGTGAACAATTTAGAAAAATATTTTAATTCACATAACAAATATTAGTTGAATTGTCCTTCGTAGATCCTGCCTTTCACATTTTCAGTTTCCTCGTTGCTTTTTTCAACAAGAACTTCGACAGACTTTCAGAAAAATTACTCTTCGTCAATATCCGGTTCAGCTCGAATATCCAGGTGTTAATCTAGGCTCGAAATAAATTTTTACTATATTCGACAATCTGAAGTTCGCAGATTCAAAGTTATCAAAATAAATTAATTTCTTAAAGTATATTAATTTCTTAAAGTTAATTCATTTCTTGAAATTAATTAATTTCTTGAAATATTACAATCGAAAAATATTTGTGGAAACAATTACAAAATGTTGAAGATAAACATTTGGAGATAATTTGGATAATTTGGACAATTTAGAAATAATAAGAGAGAAACTGCAGACGGCGACAAATCAATTAATTTTCAGGAATAACTTACAGAGTTAGGTGCCTTCCCATTGATGAATCCAGACAATTCCTCCGGTGTCATGTTGAGAATATTGCATGCAGTTTCCTGGGCCTCTTTTTCACTAGGTTCGTCCTCTTTCGGACCTCTCTGCTTATCATAGTCGCCTCTAGAGTCGTAAAGCTTCTTCAAGAAGTCCTGGAATCACACAGAAAAATACAAAATAAAATTTACTTCTCCGCAAGTAAGAATTCCGAATTTCTAGAAAAACATATATTCTATTTGTTTATACCTTTATACTCTTCAAGTACTCCATGTTCTGGCTCTTCATAGCTGATAATTTGGTCGTCATCGATTTAATAGTCTCCTCGTAATGAGCCTTCATGTTCGCTACTTCCTGCTGGACTGCGTCTTCGATCTTTTTACTATTTTCTGTTTCTGACTGGAAACGAAACAGTCGGAGTACATCATTAATTGTGTACGCTGTCTTTTATTACACCGTTCGAAGATTAGTTTTGCGTTTACGGAAAATTTGTAATTTTCCAAAAGGCAAGCATTACTCAATATTTTATTATGCTCTACTTGTACCTTTTCTGTATCAGCCTTCGATTTCTCGTTGCGAGAAAGCAACTTCTCCTTCTCGGTATTCAAAACAGAAATCTGTAGGAAGATCCTGTTCAGTGAAAGAAATATTTGACGAGTTTTATTTATTAACTACCTTGGCTCTTAATTGCGAATTGTTCGATTTCACGGCTGTAATCTCGTTCTCCAAGTTGGTGATCTTCGACAGTAATTGATTTTTCTCCTTGTTCAAATCTGCCAATTGACTTTTGTAACTGTTCAGCAAAAATCCTTTATTGGCGTTCGCCGATTCCGATCGCATGAATCTAAATCGGAGACCAAAAATAACAGTTATTTCATCAATTTTTATCGAACAAATCAATAGAACAGATCTTCTCTATTATTTCAGTTGCGGCCATTAACCACGAACTGAGATGATATATTTTCAATAAAACAGATGATCAATCAATTTCGTTTTTTTTTTTTCGTTAAGTATTATTTTATATTCGACCAGAGAGCAAATCGGCAAATGAAAACAGTATCTCTAGATGTCCGTTATCGGCAATGCAAATCAGTTTTCCATCGTTCATAATTGTTATTCGTAACATAACAAAAAACATTTTGACCAAATAAATATGTCGTTCCAATAAATTGTTATTATATGACTGTTTTTCATTTCTGTTGTAACAGTTAGTGTCTGTGATCTAAATGATTCGTATTATCGATTTTCTAGACGATTAACACATTGACTGCCAAACCTATTTTAAAGAAATCTGTTCTAGACGCCAACATATATTTCTTTAAAATAAATAAATAATAATCAGTAAAAACTAATAATAATAAGTAAAAAATAATAATAAGTAAAAAATAATAAGTAGTAAGTAAATAATAAGTAAAAAATTATAACGAGTGAAAACACTAATAATAAGTAAAAAATTATAACAAGTGAAAACTAATAACAAGTAAAAAATTATAACAAGTAAAAAATTATAACAAGTGAAAACTAATAATAAGTAAAAATGTAACCTCACTTGTTCCTCAATTGCGTGATGGTCGTAAAGTCCTCGTCAGCCTTCTTCTTCAGGTTGATCAGTTCCCTGCTCCACTGCATGGCCCGATAATGAACAGCGTTTGTTCTCTCGTGATTCTCTTTGCTCGCATTATGCTGCACCCATTCCCGAGTGTCCTCTATCCTCTTACGAAGCTCCAGGTTCTCCGCGATCAGCTTGTTCAAGTTGATCTCGCTGGTGTCCATCTCCTGCTGTAGCTTCTCGAAGCATTTGTGCATCGACTCGCACTTCTCCGCTTTGATCTTCAGCGTTGCCCTAGTCTTCGCCAATTCTCGCCTCAGTTTGTTGGATTTCGCCACTGCCATCCGCAACTGACAAAATTACTATGACTTTTGTTGCAACGAGCCTTTCCATTGTCAAAAGAAATTGTTCGATACGCGAGATCATTCGACGAAGGAAGTTGCATTAAAATTCTGTGCTGTAAAGTTGACTTTGATTATGGTTCTCTGTCGTCTAAAGATTCGATCAATTTTTAGGAGAAAAGTGAACAGAAGCATTGCGACGGAAGCTTTTATTAAAGAGAAACAGTTCGATTTGTGCATTTACTTTCTTATGCAGTTTGCTGGAGAGACACCTCAGACGTTTGCTGCACTTCAATTGGTAACTGTTCCCTCTTTTATCAGCCATGCCGCGAGGACCGAAATTCTCAAGGACCGACGTGCAGATTCGAACGATCCTCTCCTGGAGTATCTCGTTCTCTCTTCGAGCTTCTGCTTTCGCGTGCTCCAGATTTCTGCAACGTGTTTTAGGTTGAATCGTCAGTAAACTGTCAAGATATCGAATTCCTTACAAAATAAACGTGTTGTAAATGAATGATTTTTAATACAAATCAATAGAAACGTGTCCTTTATTTCGACTACTGGCTGTCATCTAAGCCACAAATTCACAAAAAGCAATCACTTTTTGTATTTTTCTTTGGCCATCGTCTTCTTCTGCAGCGCCACTTCAAGATCCACCTTCGTACGACTCAGTTTCTGCTCGAGTTGCGAAATAATCAACTCGTACCTGTTGATAAAAATTACCGGTATACACGGTGTATTTTAATATTCATTTGAGCATCTTAACCAGTTAGTCGTGGCGCCTCCTTTTTAGAGAGCGCATCTAAATGTGTCGCGAGAATCAAGCGATGATGAAGTATACTCGTCGAATACAGAGTAAGCGTCGCTGTTAAAATATTGGATCAAAGTGACGGTTTTATTTGATAAAATTAACAATTTTATTATTAATATTTACTTATTCACTTAACAATTTTCCTGAACGCAGGAGAAATTAAATACTTATAACAGTTAAAAATTCAAATGAAAAAGTCAAATATTCAAATAAAAATTCAAATTCGTGATTCTTTTCTAATCTTATTTTTATAACAATGTGAACACCTTCATGTAAGGATTGGCCTCAAAATATTCTAAACATCTTGAAATTTGAGAATACGTTTTCGTTTTCACTAAAATTACAATTTAAATAGCCAATGGTCACTACTCTTTACGTACGACGAGTATACTCGCCATGTCACAGCTAACTGGTTAAATACTTTATTTATATTTGCGTTTCAAACCTAATCATTCTGTTCTGATATTCTTTCCTTATTTAGTTATTGGTAGGATTTAGGGCAAAATTGCACAATCAAAAGAATTTAAAAATATCAATTTATCATTTTTAATTCAACGAGTTTACATTTTTTAGAATTGATGTAGACAATTTATATGTTGCATCGAGAAACGCAGTCTAGTCATCAACAAGCTGGTCCTCGCAACTGATTCAATGTTTAATTTTCTTACCACTATAGTTATAGAGAAATGTCAAAGGGCAGATATAAATGATCGAAGAAGTACTACATCTCTATAGTATACCATACTTTTTCTCGTGTACTATATATATATCTTTCAGCTATGCTTACATTTAATTTATTAAACCTTTGCGCCATCATTTTCCAAAATAATGTTTGCACGAAATTTTATTATTATTGCACATTTCAAAAATTGTGAAGAAGTTCATGCACAAAATGTAAGAATGATAAAATAAAATTATAAGAATGATAAAATAATAAGATAAAATATAAAATTACCTGCTGCCGACATCGAAGATGCTCGAGTCGCGTGCAGCTTCGTGAAATTCCGCGATTGTAAAAACGATCGGGGAATTTCTCCACGGTGTTTGACACACGAGAAACGTCTACGATCATCGTATTACGATTTACGTGTTGGAATTCGATCGGATACAATTTTATGAATACCATTTTATCATCGAGACCGGGCTGGGAACGGCGTGCAACGTGCACGCGTCCGCGGAGAAATTCCATGAATCCGGCTACAATAATTTCGGCACGGGCTGCCTCGAATTTTCACCGGACAGGCAGAAAAATCGGCAGGCTTTTTCGATTAAAACGAAAAATAAAAAAAAATTAAAAAAAAGAACGGAAAATAAAAAGCGCACTGGATGTTTCCATCGGCCGCGCGAACAACTCACTCGGTCTCCTTGCTCGACGATGTTTCCCCCTTTGTCCGTCTCTCGCTGTGCTGATTCGATTCGAGGTCGATATTGCGTGCAGGGAAACAACGGGAAAAATATTTACGTTAACTGTGCTCCATTCTGCTGAACGGTATTTTTGGCAGCCGAAACTGCTCTTTGATTGAAGACGTTGTGCTCGCGGATTACGATTACTCAACGTGTTACGCTCGTTCCCTCAATTTACGCGGGATTCTTTTTTTACACGGTAAATTATATAACAGATAAGCAGAGTGTTAAATACGATTCGGTTTGAAATGGAAACAAAATTGAGAAAAGTTAGAACCTTCGAAATATTATTTTTCGCGTGTAACTATCCTCACCCTCTTTGCTATTTGTACATGTAATGATGTAGAGATTGTGAATTTTTACACAGGGAAATTGTTTGCAGAATATAAAGTAACAAAACAGATTGGACAATAATTTATTTCATGTTTACTAGCAGGAATATTCTAATCGACATAATTCATTTTTCTTTTTTTAGTTATGGAGTTTATGAAATTGTGAACTGAAACTCGTCTGTACAACAAGACCTAAGAGGAACGCTAAAAATCGAACCATTTCCGTTGGTAATAATCTCGTAGAATTTTGGTAAAACCAAATTAAGGGAAAAGAGAACGAAATTGTAAAGACAAAAACTGTGTAATTAAAATTGTAAATTAAACTGTAATTAAAGTGTGTAACATAAAATGTGTAATTTGCATACCTCGGCGTTCCTGTTCATTGCAGACAAAGCTTCCGCTATTAGCCATTGGGGCGCAGGATCCTCGTCGACGTTCCAAACCGTTGACGATTTCTTCTGCTTCAAATAAATGTATCTCGGAGATAATCGATTTATGTTCAACGTTTCTTCGGCGATTTGTACAGCTTTCGGTTTAATCGTCGTCCCAGAGGTTTGGGTGGATGTTGTCTTTGTTTCGACGTCGATTTTTTGTCCTAGAGAAGAAGTTGTTCATTGTATAGGGTTCGATAGAACGGTCGTTTCGTTTCTGTTTGAATTCTATTTGAAGAGGTTGCTTTAATTGTTGCAATAATATTTTATAAATACAATTACAAACAGTATTTCAGTTTTGAATTGTATTCATTTCTGTTTGAATTGTATTTGAAAAGACTGCTTTGATTGTTGCAATAATATTTTATAAATATAATTACAAACAGTATTTTATTTTTTAATTGTATTCATTTCTGCTTGAATTGTACTTGAAAAGATTGCTTTAATTGTTGTAATAATATTTTATAAATATAATTAC